TTGAAGCGCACAGGTGAGGAGCCACAGTCAGGCCAACCCATTTCAAATGTTGGGTTGTCCTGTAACATTTCCTGGTGCCTACGTTACCCAGTTAAGTGTTCAACATTTGTTCCTGTACGTGCTACCTAATAGGACATCAAAATACTTTGTAAAGGCAATGGTTTGGTGTTAAATTCTCAGTTTCATTCTGAGAGTCATCTTTGGAGCCTCTTTGAGAGGCAAAAAATGCTCTGAATTGTCTGTGTTGTACCAGGCAGTATCTCTAACCTATTTCTTCCCATCTTGAGAAAAGGGAAAGTTTCAGGAGACAAAGAACTGAGTACAGTGGCATTCAAAACAGTGGGACAAGTAGATTTCATGGCCCTTATGAGCATCACTTTTGACGTTATATTTGAAATAAAATACTTGTTGGAGAGTTGAATGTGCTGGTTTCTAAATTTTTGCGAGTACTCTGAGGATACCTGTGCCCATTTTTTCACAACCCATTTCTGGGACACACACTGAAAGTACTGATTACTTGCTAATACATCTTTTCTCAATAAAACTACTCTGTAAATATGCATTCGCAAGCATTTATGAATAGTTTTTCTTTTAAAATATTTTTTTGAAAGAGATAAACAAGTGATTATTGAATTCAAGGCTACATCTTTTCCTCCCACTTCTTCTCAATCTGATATAATTACAATAAGTCTGGGTTGTACATATCAGAACATCTTCTGGTTTTGATTGTCAAGCAATCAAATAACATTTCTCACCCCCACTCAGACCCATAATTTAAAGCTTCTCTGCAGTGACACTTGGTGCACTTTAATTATAATGCTCTTCAATCCAGAAAGCTATTTAAAGGACTATGGGAGCTGTGCATTTGCAGTTCTTTCTCTTGAAAATGATTCAGAAATTTATATGTGTAGCTGATCCCAAATTGAAAACCAATAACTGGTGCTGTGCCTGACTTTTAATAGTAATGCTTTTTTTCCTTTATGGATGACCAATATTTTAAAAAGTTCTTTCCAAGATAGACTGTCCAGCAAAACTATGCATTTTGAAACTGTTTTTCACCAAAATGGTAGAGGAAAACATGCAACATTTCACCATCATCTGCATTCTGTTTACAGCAAATATTTTTTCGTTTCATAATGAAATTCTCAAGACCCAAATGGGTAGGTGTTTTAATTCAGCCTTGAAATAAAGAATGGCTTTTTCTGGACATTTTCTCTTCCCTTCCCAGGCAGTTACTGGTACCAACTTGCTCTTAATTATCTCCCATTCAATGCTAGTCATAACTGCCCGCCTACTTCACACTCAGGCAGGCCAGCCCACACTATTCACCCCAGCCCCCTCTGGCTGAATCATCTTCCGTTCCCTCCCCCCAGCACACCTCCCCGCACCCCCCCCTCCCCACCACCACCCTCAGTCCTTTCCCACTGCCATTTCATTTCCTTTTTCACTTTAGTGCTCTTGTTTACAGGGACACTCTTGCATTTCCAATGCCCTTATTCTTCATTCTATGGTATGTTCCCTTTATTTTCTCAAAAACTGCAACTCTTATGGAATTTTCTTCCCATAACTGAAGACAGCTTATGCTTAATGCACCATAGCTTCTGTGTTCATTAACAATCCATTAATTCTTGTGTACTTCAGGAGAAGTGCTATTTGAGAAACTGGAAATTTATCACTGTCACTCTAACATAAAACAGATAAAGCGATTTTGGGAACTGTCAACCTTCACAGAGACCAAGGAAGTCCTAGGTCTGTTCAACGCATTCATTTTCAGTTTGACCTTCCGGCTTTCAACATAACACATTCATTGATTTTTTAAAAATGCTCCTGTCAAGTGCTCTCAGATCATTAATTTTCAAGTGTCCACCTTTTTATATGCTAACCAAAGGACTCCTATAACATGTGGGTGACTAAGGGCTCCAGGATTTGATAGCTAAAGGTATCTGAGCTCTGATTAAACAATAGGGACGTTATGCCACCAGCTCAGACCTTGAAAGCACAATGAAACTTCTCCTCTCTATGCATTACTTACTTAAATTTGGGGTCAACATTGTCAGGAGGTTTCCATGCAAGAAGAAAAATGTCTTGGCATGTACAGGAAAAGTCACTCATCCTCATTTTCTCACAGGGATTTCCAACATAGGTATGGAAGTAACCCCAGCAAGCAAAGGAAGAAAAGAGAAAACCAGGTCCAAATGATCCCTGGTGACCCCTTTGGGGTTTCCTTTTGCTCAGATACTCTTCCTCCAACTCCTCACTTCATAGGGGAAAAATGAGCTCCAAAGGCCTGATCTGACTTGCGCCAAGTCACTAGGGAATTACGAAAAAAAAGTAACAGGGGTAGAACTCAAGGATTTCTACTCGTCAAAAGGAAGTGCCCACACAGTGCCCTTCCATGTTATCATTTCCCCAAATCCTCCAATCCCACAGAAAGACATCCCACTTGACAAATAAGGGTCATAAAGGTAAATAATTATATGAGGTTCACGCACTTGGAAATTGATGCCGCTTCCTGAACAACGTGCTGAAGTTCACAGCTAACCTTTCACAACTTGGGGATTACTCACTCAGCAAGTGCCACATGCTGAACTCTTTACTTCCAATCCATTGCTATACTCTTTGATGAAATTCTAACAAACCCCTTGTGCTGTTACTTATCTTTTGATAATGATATCATTATCTCCATAATGAAAACCTGGGATTTGGGCTTCTTTTCTGACTTTTCTGCTATTTTGTTGCTGTTGTTTATTTTGTTTGTCTTTTTGAACACAAACATCATTCAAAAAAGCAGGAGGCAAATGGGTCCTTTCATATATTATTTTTTGGAATCCAAATTGTCGATGTTTTGGGAGACAAGAGAGGAATCACAGTCTCACAATCTTAACATTTTCCCCTGTGGACTGAATGGAATGTATTTCTGAGGAAAGATGAATGAGGGACAAAAGATGGTAGCTCCACCTTCCTTTAGAAGTTTGTCAGGGAAAATGACTCATAAGGCAGATGCTTAATGTCTTTGCTGTTGGTTAAATAAGGGTTGATTGGGTGGGGATGCTGAGATAAGCGGGGAAATGTGCTTTTATTGTTTTAACTTATCTGCAGTTACCAGTATGTAACGGAACAGATTCTCAATGCTTTACTCAAAATAAAGGAATCTATATTTATGTAAAGCTCTGTTGTGCATTTCTGACAACATTTGCATCAAGAGTTAGAGATATTTGGGAGATGTAGATAATAAAAATAATACATAACATAGTTTCTTTGAAGATTTGTGAATTGAACTTGCAAATCATAGTAGCAGTAACACACTTTTAATATACACACAACAGTTCAGAACTGACTTTACTCAGTCTTCCACCTCTGTCTCCAAACTTCTCAACGTTGGGAAAACATTCCCTCTCTCAGCTCTGTGAGCTCATGCCTTTTCAATTGTTCAGTCACCCCCTAAAATTATTACCTTTCAGGATACTTTTTTTTTGTACTAACTTAAAATGTGGTAGAGATTTCTTTTGGAATATCTGTCTGTAACAAACTTTTCAGACTGTATTTTCTTCACTTATGAAATGACAGTTTGGGTTAGATCATCATTAAGATGTCTCCCAGGCCTTAAATTTTATAAGCTTCTAGGGTAATATATTAAATTAAACACGTATTGAACATCTGCTAATTGCTGGGCACCATATCAGAGATCGGAAGAACCAGGATACAGTCCTTCCTGTCAAACACCTTAACCTATAGCAAATGAGAGTGGTTCAGAGAGGCTAATTAAAATTAAAAATGATAGGATCAAGGAATGGCACAAGGAGAAGTGAGTAATTCTGCTGGTGTGGGTGGTTAAGTAAAACACAGAGAAGATGACATCTGAGCTGAGCCTTTAGGGATGAGTTCAATAGATTTAGACAAGGAGAAAAGAATATTCTAGATAGAAGGAACAGCATATAGGCGATGGCATAGAAACATGAATATATGGTAGAGCAAAAAGAACAAAGAGGAATATTTGTGAAGCAGTAAAACTAAGACAATATCCTCTGAGATATCAGTTATTCAGTGTATTTAGTCATCTAGAGCTATCCTACAAAATATCACAGATTGGGTGACTTAAACAACAAAAATCTATTTTCTCACAGTTCTGAAGACTGGAAGTCCAAATCAAGGTGTCAGCAGGCTTAATTTCTTTTGTGGCCTTTCTCCTTGGCTTGCAGAGTTTCTCACTCTTTCCTCACACATCCTCCATGTTTATGCCCCTTGGAGTCGTTTCCTTTTCTTAGAAGACACCGGTCCTGTTGGATTACAATCCCACGCTTATACCCACATTGAACCTTAATTACCTCTTTAGAGGCCAGGCCTCTGTCTCCAAATATAGTCATTGGATGGGGGTGCAGTAGGGAAACAGGTGGGACTTCACTATGTGGTGGGTGATGGGGGAACACAATTCACTCCATGACATCCAGTGAGATAAGTATACTAGCTGTACTAGCTGGATAATGATGAGAAAAGGCCTCAGGGCAGCCAAAGTGGTTACTATCAGATCAATGTATTAAACTTAATCTTCCCATTGACAGGAAATCACTTAGATCTCACCCATATGACTCCTTATTCTAATTTTACATTCAGCTTTTGAAAGCTAGTTGGTTTGTTTTACTATCTTCGAACTGAAAGATAGTATCTTCCAACTGTACCTTTAGCGTGTGGGAAGCATATAGGGGAAGTCAAGATAACAGTGAGAAGAAATTAGTTACTGACAGATTATATTTTCCAGAGATTGTGGTAACATTCTCTCCCTTCCCTAAAGCTCTCTTACAGTGTAAATTTGCCACATCCCCTGTCAAGAAGTGGAGTCCAAATCTCATTCCCTTGAAGCTGGAGCTGACCTTACAGCTCCTCGTTACAAATAAAATGTCTCTATATGATTTCTGAGCCTATAAGAAAAGGTCATGAAGCTTCCACCTGTTTCTCTTGGAATACTCATCCTCTAAAAGCCCCTCTTTGGTTTTCCCTCTTAGAATGCAGTCCCCATGCCATGAGAATCTCAAGTCACAAGAAGAAGCCAGATTTATGTACTCTGGTCCATCATCTGAACTGAACCTGGATGTTAGCTATTCCAGCCCAGGTGAGTGAGATGCCATCATGGAATTATTATAGATCCTCCAGTGCCAGCTTTTCTAGACTCCAGATACTAAACTCCTTTCCAGTCATCTGTGTCTTGCTAACTGAGGGCTGAGATAGTACAGAACTGAAAAGAGCTATCCTCGTAAATCTTTTCCAGATTCCTGATCCATAGAATTTGAGGAGAAATAAAATTATTTTTTATGCTGCTAAGTTTGGGGTAGCTTATTTTGCTGCAATAATAACTGACTCAGACAGTTATTAAAGGAACAAGCCATTAAAGGGAACAAAATGTTTAAAAAAATACCTATAATGAACAGATGAACCAAAAATGTAATCTAATTAGTGTATGGAAAGTAACTCTGCAGATATCACTATTGTTACTGAAAGCTCCCTACTTACAATACAGCATACTATTTGATACTTATAATAACAAGCAGTACAGTATTATTAAGAAAACATTAAATTTGGTTCAGAAAACATAATTTGGGAAGGAAGGGGAAATATATCATTTATTTAAAAAATACTTCAAACTGGTTCATATTTAAACTTTCCTTGGTGCTTTAAAAGGAATATAAGTTTCCATTATCAGGAAAATTAGAACACGTAAACATTTTTATTCCTTAGTAATACTGGATAAATTAGACTTTACTGTAATTTTTGCCTGAAAGCATTTCATATTTATTGCTGTTTGTGTTGCTTGCCAAGAGTAAGTCTTGGTGGTGATCAGCTTTAGAAATGTCCCAAAGCAGGAGAGACAGAAACAAAAACAAACAAGTGGGATTATATCAAACTAGAAAACTTCTGTACAGTGAAAGAAGCCCTTATCCAAACAAAAAGAGAATGTATTATATGGGATATTTGCAAATCATACCTTTGATAAGTAGTTAATATCCAAAATATATAAAGAACCCTTACAATTCAACAACAAAAATAGAAAGAATGGGATTTAAAAATGGAAAGAGGATCTGAATAGATATTCTCCAAGAAGACATACAGATGGCCAACAGACACATGAAAAGATGCTCGTCATTTCTTATTGTTAGGTAAATACAAGTCAAAACCACAATGACATATCATTTTACACTGTTAGAATGGCTATGATCAAAAAGTCAAGAAAAAACAAATGTTGTTGAGGATGTGGAGAAAAGGTAATCCTCATACACTGTTGATGGGAATATAATTGGTGCAGCCATTATGGAAAACAGGATGGAGATTCCTCAAAATAATAAGAATAGAAATACCATATGATCCAGCTACTCCACATCTGGATATTTATGTGAAGAATACAAAACCACTAATTTGAAAACACATACACCTATGTTCATTGCAGCATTATTTACAATAGCCAAGATATGAAAACAACCTAAGTGCCCATAGATGGATGAATGGATAGACATGGTATATATACCCAATGGAATACTACTCAGTTATAAGAAAAGATGAAATCTTGCCATTTGTGACAATATAGATAGACCTTGAAGGCATTATGCTAAGTGAAATAAGTCAGATGGAGAAAAGTCAAATGCCACATGATTTCACTCAAGTAAAATCTAAAGAAACAAAGCAAATGAATAAGGAAAACAAAATAGATAAAGTCTTAGATACAGAGGCTAGACTGATGACTAAAAGAGGGGTAAGGGACAAAGTGGGTCAATTATATAGTGGTGGAAGGAACTAGATGTTTGGTGGTGATCACAATGTAATGTGTACTGATGTTGAATTATAATGCTGTTCCCCTGAAACTTATGTTAAAAAACAATGTATTTCAATTAAAATTTCTATGAAAAAGAGTAAGTCTTAAGAACTACCACTTATCAAGCACATGCTTTCTTTTTTCAAAAGAGGATTTGAGGAGGCTTTATGTTTACTTAATCAACTTCATACTTCACATAGCATATCAATATACACTTTTTCAGGGCCTCCCTGGTGGCACATGGGGTTAAAACGCAACCTATGAAGCCATCTGCAGCCACTGCAGCACGAGTTCGATCCCCAGCCAAGGAGCTACACACTTGGTGCAGCAGACCTCTCTTGTCTCGCTCGCTGCTCCCCTTAGCAGTGTATTTCACTCAATCCGCCTGTTCTGTCCCCACTCTGTCTCTGCTGAATCCTCTCACCGGCCCCCCCACACACACCTCTGGCCTGTACCCCAGTTCTTGTGTGCATAAATAAATAAATCTTTTTTAAAAAATACATTTTTTCAATGGTAATGATATTAAATTATGACCTCCTTAGAGACCAGGGACCAAGCCCTGTTGTTACTCATTTGTGTATCACCAGAATTGCCTAGTTTGGTGCTTTGTGTGTAATGTAAGCTAAAAAAAGATGTGGTGAATTAAATCAAATTGGCAGAATTGTGATCATATTTTTAAATAACTTCTGTCTAAAATTTCTCTCCAAAACACTGAAGAGAAATCAAAAAAAGGATTTGAAGTAGTCATTATCCTAAGGTAATACAAAAAAAACATGTAAAATACCACCCACTTCTAAATGGATATACCTATGCATTACAATAAACACACCACATGACAGGCTTTTAAATTTTATTTCCACTGAGTTTCATGCCATTAAACTGGTATTAATAACCCATTTGCAGTTCAGATCAGGACTAACGTTGAATGAGGAGGGTTGCGCATGTGGTTACTCGTGTCCATGTATGCATGTATGTTTAGATGGGGAGTAGAATTATTAGCAGAAACAAGACTTCAGGACTCATAGTCCCATCACAAATATCCTTTCCGAAGAGTGGACAGTGACTGGAGCAAAGCAGGGTCTGATGGCAGGTTCTAGGGAGACACTGGACTCCAGACACCAAGTCAACATCAGGGGTCCCAGCTACCCCTTTCTTCCTAGACCAGTAAAGCCAATGTCTTCTGCCCACCCCTTCAAGGTTCTTGTACTGAAGCCCACACAGCTCCATACAGAACTCCCATCACCCTAGGATGGCTGGGCCTCTTGTTGGAGACAAGTGAGGTCAAGATCCCTTCCTGGTTGTTTTATTATACAACTCAAGTTTGCAGGGATGAACTTTTAACTGGAATTTTATCTTGGCTGAAATTTTATTTATGTGCAGATAATTTGACCAGTTGTTTGGCAGCTGCAGATGTGATGAAAATTCAATTCAAATATATATAGTGCCTGCCCTCCAGAATTTATAATCTAATGGGAGAGCCAGGCTAGGACATTTCTAGCTATATTGGTATAAAGTGCTGCGGGGGAATCTGAGGAGGGAGGCCATTACCTCTGATTCTGTAAAGGAAGGTACATCTCTCAGTGAACTCTCACTTTGATAAGTCATTCTGATTGGGATGACTAGTACTATGAATTTTTTAAATGATTTTAAAAGAACTCTTTAATTTATTGAATATATTCAATGCCTAGGTACTAGTACTATGCTATGTATTCAACCGTACTTCTCACTTTACTCTTAAAATGAGAAACTCTAGAAGTTACTCTAAATCCTTGTGTTATAGGTAAAGAAACTGAAGTTTATAGAAGTCACTTACCTAAAGTCATGCACCTAGAAAATGGCAGAACCAGGACACCAGTCATACCTGTCCAATGCCAGAGTTCAAGATTTAACCACTAGGAAATGGATCTCTCTCACTCTTCCTCTCTCTCTCTCTAGCTCCCTTTGTCTCTGTCTCTCTCTCTCTCTCTGTCTTTCTCCTTTTTCTTTCTCAATTCTGTTTCATAAATGAAAAAACTGACCTAGGCCAAAAAATTCATATCCCTACTTCCTACTTCCCTTTCATTGGAAATTTTCACAATGAAAGTCAAAAGATGCTTATAAAAAAACCAAGTGCATTATAGGACACTATCTTCAAAGAGGATATCCACAGAGTTCAAAGTATTTCAACACAAATTTGGCCCTCCCCAATGTTAGGAAAATGTCTGTGTTCCTAGTCTCTATGATCTAGGATTCTGATATTTAAACATATTTCTGTGTTCTGATTTCCCTTTATCATCAGGAAGGAAATTTAACACAAGATCTAATTTGTAACTCAAGACTTATTTGTCTTTATCTATACAACAGAGTATTAGTTATCTAGCAGCCTTTCTAGTTAATTGTTAATTAATTATATATTTCAAATTGCTTGTAGTATGTTTCTTTAAAAAGAGTAAAGAGTATTATTGGTAGGTTACAATTATAAAATTATATGCTTCCCACCACTGATTTTAAAACAGATAATGAAAGTTCAAGTTTTAAACTGGCAAGAACATTATTTTAAAAATGTTAATTTCCATCTAATTGGAGGCAACAAGAACCTCTTCAAAGCTGTCAAATTTCCCTATACCAAAATATACAGACTACAATTTTTTAACGAGACTTCTATGGCACACAGTGAGTTACATACTATAGCAAGCTTCCCACTTACCTGGGGAAAGAACAAGAAAACTTCCATAGCATATTATATTCCCACTGAAACTCAGGGAACCATGACCTCTCTACACTAGAATTATAACAGTCCTCTGAAAGTTAACTTCTCAACTGATCCCTAGTTTCCAAATTAGTCAGCAAGCATACACAGTGGGGCACAATGCCAAATAAAATGTACAAATGGACATCTGGCATCTCAGATTTGATCAAGCAAAGAGCAAAGTGCAAATTTAAATATGTGCTCAGGGTACCACAAAACGCCAAAAACAGCATATGAATCATGAGGGAGGAAGTAGAATTTAATGAACTACTTTGTGCTTATTTTATAAATCATATTTTAAAATTCTTTTGAAATATATATGAGATGAAAGGAGAGGAGGCATCATAACTTTTCAGTGATTGAAGTCACCAGAGCTTATCAGTTCTTTATATCTTAAATTAGAACAATTTGACATTGTCTACAATCGATCACCCAGAATCCCCATTTTTTTATTTGTGGCAAACACTGGAAACTTTAATTCAGTTCATCATATGGTTCTATAATCAACAATAGGACCTGTATCCTAGTAATTGTCCTCGTGTGACTCAGTGTTTCAACAAATCATTGTTTAGACTGAGGTTTTAATTGGAGAAACTGTGGACATAATTGCATGGATGTTTACTGAATGAATAAATAAATGTATAAATGAAATGAAAGCAATAGATATGGATTCCAAAGCCAGGTTTTAATTTCTTTTTTTCATTTCTACTCTATGATCTTGAATCATTTACCTTAAGCTTCAGTCTCTACATCTATAAAATGGAAATTGTATATTTCATGTGAGATTATCTCATGAGGTGGAATGTTTTATTTTGGTATTGGGAGGATTAGAAATGAGACATTTATTTGAGAAAGCACATTAAAATCCTTCAAAACCTCTCTATAATCATTATTAATCAAATGTACGTCAAACATCTACAGATATTAGGTACAGAGACGCTTTTGTGAAAAAGTTTTAGGAAATAGGATGTTTTATGTCCATTTGACACCGTCTCAAACATATTCTTTGATATACTCTACAACCATTCATTATGTCTTCAACCTAACAGTCCCTCCTTATTGCCCTGTCCATCTTTGAGAATAGAAGAAAGTGAGAGTGTCTGCTTGAAAAATGACCTGGTGATTTTCAAAAGTCAAAGTTTAATGTTTGGTTTTTTAAGAGTCATGAATTAAGTATGAATGTCAAAACAGCCCAACGAAAATATCACCTTCCCCATGACATCACAACCAAAATGTCACCTCTTCCTGAAGGCACCCTCCTTCTCTCTGGTCTCTTAAGAGTGACCAGAGAGAATGCTGCTCCATCTGTGTCATGGTCTCCTGACCTTTCTGTCCTGGTTCCGACTCTTACTCAACCTTTAGCACTCTTCTGGTCATTCCCTGCCTGGACAGTCTGGCCAGGGACCTCTCTCACCCTTCTAGCAAGGTATTAAATAAATCAGATCTGTTTTTTTTTTAATAATAAATTTTATTTTTATATTCCCCATACAATTGCAACCCTCCCCCCATTCTGACCCCAATCCCTCCCCTCCCGCCCCCCCACCCCCCAAAAGTGTCTCTGGTTCATAGTTTTTTGTTGATTTTGATTTTCACTTTCTTATAGTTATTCATTTTCCTGGTCCCTTATTTAAGTTTTCTAGATTCCTGCTATGAGTGAGACCATCCGGTATTTTTCTTTTTCTTTCTGGCTTATTTCGCTGAGCATGATCCCTTACAGCGCCATCCATGTTGCTGCAAATTGCATGTGTTTATCTTTTTTGAATGCTGAGTAATATTCCATGGTATATATGTACCACATCTTCTTGATCCAGTCATCTATTTTTGGGCATTTGGGCTGTTTCCAAAGCTTAGCTATTGTAAACAGTGCTGCTATAAACATAGGGGTGCAGGTGTTCTTTGGAATTGATGTTTCTGTGTCCTTTGGGTAAATACCTAGGAGTGGAATTGCTGGATCATATGGAAGCTCTATGTTTAGTAGGTCCAGAAATCTCCACACAGCTCTCCATAGTGGTTGGACCAGTTTGCACCCCGACCAACAGTGCAGAAGAGTTCCTTTTTCTCCACACCCTCGCCAACATTTGTTGTTGCTAGTTTTTGGTATCTCATGGTAGTTTTGATTTGCATTTCCCTGATTACAAGTGATGTTGAACATTTTCTCATATGCCTGTTGGCCATTTGCATGTTTTTTTCTTAATTGGAAAGCCATCCTTTAAAATGTGTTAGCTGTGGAAACATTAATTCATCCTTGAAGCAAATTCTTTTGCTTTGGAAAAATCGCTGAAATCTTTTCATAAACATAATAGAACATAATAGAACAACATACCTGTTGCTCTTGGAGATAAATAAGTCTGCATTAACTTGAAGGCAAGTACTGCAGACAGAGATGTTAAATGTGCCACTAATGAATGCACATTTTGTTAACTTTAGCATAAATGTGCTCTTATAGGGACAGAAAATGTAGTGTTTCTAAATGTGGATTTAGACTACCCCTGAAAATGATATATCCCTCCCCCTAGGGATACATGGATGTCTCTTATTTTAAAATTTTTCTTATAGTCTGCTTTAGAGCAGTTCTCATCAGGAGCAAGGTTGATTAATACATGTTTGTGTAAGATCTAGAATGGCACGGAAACAGCTGATTGAACTGTTGGCCGACCTACCAAGGGTTTTAAAATTAAATAATCCAGCCTTTGAAATGTCTTTTAAACTATCACCTCTGCCCTTTCTGTGCCCCTGCAGTTAAATAGTACCTGGTGGGTCGGAATAAAGGATTTGGATGTTTCCAGTGCCATCTCTGGTGAGAAATGAGGTAGGTCTAAGAATGAACTGGGGGAGGGAAACTTCACTCCTCCAAATTACAAAGATAAGTGTAAAAACTTCATGATACAAAGATGCCTGGGGTGACCCTCCATACAAATCACTCTTCTATGACACACAATTATCTAGTTATTTATTTTTAGTATTGATGGAAGAATAACACGTCATTTTTGGTGGCAGCCGAGTAAAGCTACTTTCTGTGCGGTGCTTTGAACCATCCCAAGGCTTTAGTTAAGTGTTAAGTGTTATAGTGGGCTCGACTGTGCTTCAGGGAATTAAGGAAGGGCTTTGTGCACACATCTGTGAAGCTAAAAAGAGCAGCAGCCGTAGGGAAAAGCCTTTACAGGACATCACAAAATAAAATGTAGGATCTTGAGTGATACCAGCTAGATGAGGGTGACTTGTCAATTGACCATTTGGACAAATTACGAAACATGAAAGAAGTGTTCCTTAGGGAACGGTTGGAAGCATCTCAGTAAAAGAACAGATTTCTCAATTTTCCTTGAGTGCTATTATTATCGCTTGGGGGGAGATTTGATGGAAAAATTTGTGCCTTTTAAAATCTAAGAGAACTTGACTTTCTTCAGATTCATTTTATCTTTTCTACAAAAGCATCAGCTTATTGATGATAAAGAGTGTATCTTCTTCTTCTTCTTCTTTTTTTTTTTTTTTTTTTTTGCATCATCACAGTTTCTAGCACAGTGCCTGGTAGAAAATAAGTGTTTAAAAAAAATGGTTGCTGAGTTACACACGCATAAAGACTTTCAGAATATTATCTTCAACTTGAAGGAATTGATTTAAATCAATAGCCTTATTTAAAACTGGTTATGAGAAAGATGCTGAAATAGATGAAGAAGATACCTTGATCTTCTTTATTGTAAGGCTGTTGTAACTTCAAACTGGAAAATACGTTTTAAGCACAGATTTCTGCAAAAAGCTGCACAACCATCACGTATTGCCAGAGAATCAGGAAAATACAAGGTTGGTAAGGCCATGTTGTCTCCTCACTCCATGCCCTGTGTCAATCACCAGTGCTGGAGCCAGGGAGAGGCTCCTGACACATGGATCTTCTTAGTACCGCATCACATGCCTCTTCTAAATCACACCACTCTCGGCCCATGGGTAGATGTGTAGTTATTAACATTTGTTTTTTAAAAAATTGTCTAAAATAATAGTATGGAGATTTAAAAAAAATCACACTTTACTTAGCTGTAGGAGCATTATAGACCCTTAACAGTCCTAGAAAAATGGTTTTCAGGCCTCCCTTGTGGTGCAGGGGTTAAAATCTCAGCACTATCAAGATATCACCAGCCACTGCAGTGTGAGTTCGTTCCTTGGCCCGGGAGGTGACCCACAGGGAGTGGCAGACCTTTCCTTCCCCCTCACTACTCCCCTCAGCAATGTATTTCATTAGATCCGCCTGTTCTGCTCCCCACTCTGTCTCTGGTGAATCCTCTCACTCGCCTACACCCCAGTTCTTGTGTGCATTAAAAAAAAAAAAAGTGGTTCGCAAACTTGTCTGTAAAACGACCTATACAGGGTCCTACCCCAGACCAGAGGGGCTCAGACATAGGTGATATTTTTTTAAAAGTTCCGCCATTCGTTCACTTCCCTAAAATAATTTTGTTCATTGTTCTTGTCTACTTTCCAAATCTTTTGTCCACCTGTCCTACCTTCTCCTTTATATGCAACTCTGTGATTAACTAAGAGACACTGAGGACTCACAGTCTTCATTCACATTTCACTAATGACCAGTGGGAACTTCCTGAAAACATTTAATTTACGTTAAAAACAAAAGACATCACCACCTGCTGGGGACAAAACAGGATTGCATTATTTTAGAGAGTAAGATTCCATAGAATCGTATAATCAGCAAGAAGCACATAATTCAGACCTCAGTCACCAGGGTAATCTTTACCTATAGATGCATGTCTTCTTTGTTCAAAGTTTCCAAGGAGAAATATTTTGTATTTCTTTTAGCTATTCTTAGCATACTGCTAACAATGGTCTTTATTTAACCAATTTAACTTAAACTGCTGTGTTCAATGGAAATAGAGAACAACAGATTGCCTGTTTACTTATCGTTTGTTTAGTTGTGAAGACTCACAAATTCACAACAGCATTCTTCTCTTCACGCTAATAATAAATAATTTAAGCTGTCATTATGGCCTATATTTTACAACCATTTATATTTTTCATTCTTCTTCTTCGAACATAATTAGACCATGTACAATAAAATAGCTATTTGCTTTTCCTTTAACATGTCATCTAAAGATGAAAAATGCAGTGAAGTCATCTTTTTTAAGTATTACATTCACACTCAAGTATTTTCCATTTTCCCCCTTATTTTTCAATTTTAAGACATAAAATACAATCACTGGGTCATAAATTATAATTACCTTCCCTTGTATCTAAAAGCAGAATGCAAGCATAAAGCTTTCTTGCTTTGGTAATTTCTATAATTTACACATAGCATTAATAAGGCCCTGAGCATAATTCAAATGTACAGATTGCCCACAGCACCATAAACATAAAGCTTTTTTTTTCTCAGAGCAAATTGTCACTGAAGCACCAACTCAGATAACAGAATTAGTCATTAACTCTTCAGGCAGCCTTTACATTTTCTTTATGTAGTGTTTTCTATACCCGTAGTAATATTGTGCCATTTTTACCAGCTCGTTAAGATTTCATTGTATAAACTAATCAAACCCAAGGAAGAAAAAAAAAAAAAGATTTCATTGTATAAACAGTAGCTGAATACATTCATGTCAAAGATAATCATTCCTTTAAAAGGTTTCTTTGTCAGGTATTCATTAAAGTAGGTTTCACATCAAAATGATAGTCACTAATATAGGCAAACATCTTATCCATTTGGCAGGTTTTAAAAAATTTTTAAATTTTATTAGCTCTATATCAATCAAATCCTCAGCCTATATTATGTCTCCCAAACAGCACAAAGATCTGTTTCATGAATGCACACGATTGGTGGGTATACAAAGTGAAATAATCTGTGTATCCTATAAAATATTGGAGGTTACAATAGAGATGATATTGTTCACGGATGCAGCAGAAATGAATTATTGACAATATCTAATAGCACCAATACTATGCTTTGTAAGCAGAGCTTCCATTTTCTTAATATTGGTCTTCAGAAATTCATTTTGTGCTCAGTCCCTAAAGAAAGGCTTCTTCCCAGCTGATGTTTACCACTCCAGGCTGCATGAAGCACTGGCATTTTGCTTCAAGACAGGAGGTAACAGGAATAAAAACAGCGCCAGCTACATTTCCTCCGGATCAGATATGTGAATGTTGTGAGCATTGTAATGGGTAGCGTGGGTGACACAGAATTTCACAAAGGCGCCCACACAAAGAGCAGCCCTTCTTCAGAAGGCAGAGCAGACACCATTTTGTCTCATACCAGAGCAGTTCACAACCTTCTTCAGCTTTTTCGTTGACGCTTTCAAGACCCAACGTTTTATTTAAATCTAAACCTGATGAGACAAAATGACATTTCAGGAGGGCAATTTGATTTCTAGACAGTGTTGGAGAAAGGGATAGAAAGGGGTAAGAATCAAGGTCATGGCTGTAAATAGCTGAATTCTCTGAAGGAGTAAATTAAAGCGAGAACAGCCTTTATGTAGAGGCACATAGAAACTGCCATTAAATTAATGCTGGTATAAAAAGAAATCTCTATTTTTAGATTGCTTCGTAGAAGTAATCTAAAAGATCGCTGGGGGAATGGTGGCATGGGGTCAGGGAAGGGTAACTTGTGGGTCCTACTTCATGTCTTTCTGTGGAGATGTGTGAGAAACCAGCTGTGGAGGAGGCCCTGACTACTGGGCTGACCTCTGGAACTCTATTTGGCTTGTGAATGTGTCAATCACAATTATGCACGCAGCACTGTAGCTGTCTGGAGATCATAAGTGATGGCTGGCTTTTTTTGCTTTTGTTTTAATCTTTTTTTTTTTTTACAAACTTTTTTTTTTCATGTTTTTTTTTTTTTTTATTTTTATATTCCCCATACAGTTACAACCCCCTTTTTTGACCCCAAGCCCTCCTTTCCCCGCCCTCCACCCCCCATAGAGTGTCTCTGGTTCATAGTTGTATTAAGAGTTGACTTTTGACATGTAACCTGACATTTCCCCAAATTTATTGTCGACTGTTTGAAAAGTTTTGGGATGTCTTCACTTCAGCCCCAGTAGCACATTCTTTTCTATATATATCTTGAGTATTACCAACCTTCATTCTTTAAGGAGAGAGTTTATTCTGTTTTGTCTTATGTATGTGCTTTTTATTGTAGTAAAACAAATGTAAAATTTAACGCTTTACAATGTACAACTCTGTGGCATTTAACATTCTTGTCATCGCTAAGATCTAGTTCCAGAATATTTTCTTCACCCTACAAGAAACCCCCTACTCTTTAAGCAGTCACTCCACATCAACCCCTCTCCCAGACCCTAGGAGACCCTGGTACCCCTTAATCTGCTCTCCAGCTGTATTGATTTGCCTGTGCTGAATATTTCACATAAATGGAAACATACAATATGTCTCCTTTTCTGTCCAGCTTTATGCACTTGAAATGATTTTGATGATGGTTTGTGTTATATCTATATTTGTTTTAAAGCAATAGATAGGCAAAAGGAGGCCAGACTGGTCAATTTAAGGGGCATATTTTTTGAAAAGACGTTTAAGTGATATTACAAAGTGATATTAATTTTTCCTTATGTCTCATATTTTGTTTTTATGTCCTGGAATATAAAGGTTCTATTTACACACACACACACACACACATTAAGAGCACACTGCATTATTATCTATGTTCAGAGTATGAGTAGAGGTAGGTTACTGCCAGGTAGGCTTGTAATAAAGTTCTCCTAGGGATAGGGGAATGAGGGGTTGGCCAAAGGATGTTACACTGAAGACATTACACTGAACCACAACCTCCCCTTATTGAGTGAGACATATTTATAAATCAAATCAGACTGTTGTACTTTCTCTTTGTAACATGCGTCCCTTTTAAATGTCCACTTTCTTTGTTCTCCAACAAAGGTAGAATGGCTGGTTAATAAAACAAATTCACTCTAAAATATTTATGACTTAGAAATTATTTCTGTAAAGCCAATTGACTTTTGATCAAAAAATGAAGTAAAAGGTTAAGGAAGGTTTCATGCCTGTCTCTTCAAATCATACTGCTGGACCACTGTGACTATCGAATCTCTGTGTCTAA